ACGATATGACTGAAATAAGTTTGGCTATGCAGAGCCACTGACTAGGCCGAACTATTCTTAGTTCGGTTCTGCTTTTACTCCTCATCTCGGTTCTCCTCTGCTCAACCCATAACACGACTGGACCGAACTAACAAATGGCGACCGGCACAACTCCAAGACCGAGCTACCGAGTAGCAGTGTTTTGGCCGCTCTAACCTCCATACATCTCAACCGGACTATTACTGGGACCTACCTAACTCCATTTGCCCGGACCAGAGTAGCTTTACATCTTATTGCACCAAAGTAATTTTACCTCACCTGGGCCGGAGTAACTTTTACATTTCTATTGGGCCTTTTTATCCTGTCCTTCGTACTTTGGGCCATAAAGTCCATCTCACAGCTCGGCCCAAATTTTCCCAAAAATTACCCTCTCAATAAATATTATATTTTTTTTGACAAAAATTATAAAAATTTATGATTCAAAAATGAAGTTATGTATTTTTGTGATAATATAATGTATATTATGATATTGTTACACATTTTATACTTAGAAAATATTTGTATAAAAAATGTGTAACACTATCATAAAATACTTAATTTTATTTCTGAATCACAAATTGTCATAACTTCTATCAAAAAAATATATAATATTTATCAAAAAAATACGTAATGGAATGCATTTTCTAATTTGATAAGTCCCAATTTTAAGTTGAATAGTTAAACTTATAATCTTTTATTATATATAATATATATTAATTATATACGGGGTTGGGTTTGGATCGGATGGTACATCTCCCACCCCAACCTATCGGATGGTACATCTCTCACCCCAGCCTCAACCCTACCTTCGCTTTGGATGGGGAAAAAAACCCGCTCTTGTCCCATCTCTTCAATAGATTGGGTACATCTAGCAGGGACAGGTCCCCACGGAACAAGTTAAAATGACCATCCTTAATTATAGCCACATTCCACACTATTTACTATTTGGGAGAAATATTACATCAGTCATAAATAATTACTAATTAATAATTACCATTCATTGATAAATTTTAATAATTAAAATCATAAACTTTTTTATGAATTCGTAATTTTTTTTGAAACTAGGACTGAAATGTAATTTTTCCTAATTTTTATCCCCAATATTTTTCATTTAAAATTTCAAGAAATTATTTCTTGAAAAAACCATTAAATACCACGTAAATTTTTGGGGGGGATATATTTTTAAAATTAATTTATTTATTTTTTTGACAACGGGAGTGGAAGGTGGAAATTAGCAAAACTCGACCACGGACATCATAGACACGGTAGGTAAAGAGCCAATTCCTAGTCTTTCTTCTATAAAACATATCTAGAAATTATCACTTAAATCTTGGTAAGATATCAGCAAAATTGGTAATTTTTTGTTTATTGAATTTATATATATATATATATATAACATTTATGAAAATAGAGTTTTTCCATCTACACAATGAGTAAAATTTCAATATAACGATAATATTATGTTATGATCAAATTAGCAAAGGTCTAGGACAACTCTAGTCTAGATTTTCTACTTTGATATTGGTTGAGTTCATATATAGGAATGTTGTTTGATTTTTTCAATGATTTGGTTGGCTGTTTTGAGATGTTCTCATCATTTAAAAATATTAGTTCCATCCCAAAAATGTTCCAAAAAATCTTGTTCAACATTCCAATTTAAAGTTGGGTCTAACAAGTACTCCTAAGATATAAGAAAAAACAAAATATATGTAGATCCTGAAACATTTATTATTAATTCAATACACTTTTTATGAATTTTAAAATAATTTACAACTTTTTCCACTTTTTCATTACACTTTTTATACATTCTCAATATTAACTAATGTCATGAAAACATTTGTTAGCATTTACCTTGAAATTTTTGTGATTAAGTTAAGTTACATTTCTCATCACCTTTTGCCTTACAAGTTTTCCTAGCAAGTTTTTTGAGTCTTAAGCATGGTTGCATGTTTCGATTTCCCATTCATCTTGCTATTTGCCAATTTGGACACTTTGTTTGGATTATAAATTTAAATAAAAATTTAAAAAGAAAAAAAAAATATACGTGAAATGTAAATAAAATATAATTATATTTACATTTTCTCTTTCATTTTCAAATCTTTACTTAAATCCATGATCTAAATATAGCCTAAATGGTGCATTTACCATATTAAGTCTATTAGTTTTATTATCTTCAAAGTTTGTGTTTGGATCATGAATTTGGATAGAAATTTGAAAAGAGAAAATATCATTATAACCCTTATGGTTTAAGCCCGAAACATTTTACCCTTCTATGGTTCAATATAGTCAGAAAAGCCCTATGTGATTTTGAACGAAAGTTTAACCTTTAACACTGTTAACTATATATATGAAATGATTATAATGTCCTCGAACTCTATGCTTTTTTTTGTTATTTTCTTTCTCTCTTTTCTCTCATATACGTAATTTTTAATTTCTAATATTAATTCAATTAAATTAATCTAATTTTAATTTAATTATTTTTTAGATCACAATTGATCCTTAATTATTTATAATAATTATTAAAATTTTAATCGAATTATGTTTTATAGATCACAACTAATCATAAATTCTTAATTATTTATTGTAATTTTAATTTAATTATTTTTTAGATCAATTCTAATTATTATTTAATATATATTTTAAATTAATTAAATTTTAAATCAATCCTTAATTATATTTTATATTTTAGATAAATTTTTAATTATATTTTAGTTTAATTTAATTTTAATGAACATCTTAATCTAATTTTAGGTTTGGAGAAAATGGGGTATAAAATTGTCTTTTTGTTGTGTTACTTTCAACTTCTTCTTCTTTTTTTTTTCTTTTTTTTTTAAGAAAATTAAACTCACTTTAAAGAATGGTGTGTGAGTCATACACTTTTTGTTAGTTTGGATGGAAAAATTAACAATGACATTTTAATCCAAAATCACATGGGAACTTTTTAACTATTATTCACCCAAAACTTTTTAACTATATTTAAACCATAAGGAGGTAAAGTGCTCCAAAATCACGAGGAGGTAAATGAATTTTGCCCAAAAAAAAAAAAAAAGTTAGGTGAAATGTGAATAAAATATAGTTACATTTCATCTATCTTTTTTTTCTTTTTTCTTTTTTCAGATTCCTACTAAAATTTATGATCTAAACAGAGTTTAAATCTCTATCCAAGACTATTATCAAATCAAGCAAGGTGCTCAAGTTGGTATCCACCCATTTAGTGGCTAGTTGGATGAAAAATTACCCCCAAAAAAAAAAATATGGATTTAGGCTCAAATTTGATACGAGAAAGTAATATAAACTTTTCAAAACAAATGACATCAAAAACTGGAATTTCTAAATAATATTATTGTCAAATGAAAATTTTCAAAAAAAAATGATAAAATTGCACATTTGAAAGTTTTAACGGTGGAATTGGCACGAAAACTGCCTTAGGTATGGAAAAGTTGTGAGTTTTGCTGTTGTGCTATTTTAGATAGAATATGGGCCTTCCAAACCAAATCTAACAATGTTGGCTTGAGTCCGAGTAAATATTGGATGTAACAGTGTTATTATATGATAAGTATCACCATCCAATAAGTATTTTTGATTTGCAGTAGGATCGTAAGATTGCTTGTTAATAGGAGATAAGGGTTGACCACTTAATTCATTTGTAACTTTTCATTGACCGTCAACACTACATAAAATAGTATTACTGTTACACTTAATATATATGTTTTTTATGAATTCACAATTATTGTTTTGTCACTTGTCTATCCAAGTGCTCCAAATACTTTACAATTTGATCTACATCACTAAGGTAGCATTTGGATTTACATCTATAATTATTTATCTCATAGCAATTGGTCCAAATATATGTGTTTATAAAAGTAAAAATGGAGTAAGGTCAACTAGCACAAAACTAGGTGCAACCAAGTACCCAAACTGTAGGCCCAAAAATTTTATTTTGATTTAAGTTAGGTCTTGGTTCAAGTACTTTCCTAAATTACAGTGTTGGCTTTTAGTGTTTGAAATCCAACGAGAGTTTTAACATTGTTATGCAGGGTTGTGTTGTGTTACCGTACGAACTCTATTTTAAGGTGCATAACTAAAACTAATTGAGTAGTGTTAATTTGGGAAATTCTAGAGTGCATTTTCTTTAAAAAAAAAATGCATTGTACATAGAAAATTAATTGTTAAGATTGAACCACATCGTTAAAAATGACCTGGTAAACAGGCCACTTTTTATAGTTACGAGCCAAAATTATATTTGTTCATAACTAGAATCAAATTGATCATAACTTAGTTATGACCTATCATCACATATCTCATAACCAACACCATTTTGCCCATAACCAATATCACATATTTCATAACCATAATCACATACCTCATAACCACATCTCATAATCAACACTCTTTACCTTATAATCACACTATTTTGATCCTAACCAATATCACATATCTCTTAACCACTATACTATAACAAAAAAGGATTTTTACTGTGCGCAATGCACACGGTAAAAACCCTTCAATGACGTGCAGCGCGTTATATTATGACCAATCATAGAAAATCATTTACTTTCAACGACATGCTTCGTACACCGTTAAAAACTATTTAACAGCAAATTTTGTATATCATTATTACTTTTTCTATGACATGCTATAATACACCATTACAAACTATTTAACAACAAATTTTGTGCGTCGTTATTACTTTTTCTACTACTTTTACACGTTAATTGGTAAGACAAATAATAGCGCTGATTGCGCACCGTAAAATATGTAATATAACGACTTATTATATCTGCCATAGAATATACAATTTTTTTTATTTTTTTTTAATTCAACAAGTTCTATTTGACCAATTTTGTACAATTTAACAAATATTACAAACAAGCATCACAAAACATCAATCAACAACCAAAATATTATTTGAAACATCAAAAAGAAACTATGTCCATAAATTATAAACATTCAACAATTATCTATACATAAATTATAAACATTTAACAATTATCTATACACCTCCACAGAAACTCCAAATGCAAATCTGTCTCAAATCCAAACCTCCTCACAATGTGATCAACAAATGAAAGTGGGGTCACTGGATTCATCTTCCATTGAAGAGTAGATAGCACCAGAAGCTCCATTCTCTGGATTATCTTGGCTTCAAACACAAACTTTGATTCTTCCACCTAATCACAACACAAAAATAAATCAATGACAACCTCATCCCTAAGCTTTCAAACTGACCATAAAACAGCAAATAGAATGGAATTCCAGATTTTCCTCTCCAGTTTTGACAGATTTACACCGGCCCACCATTGGAGTAAGTAATTAACAGAGCCTGGTAATGCCCAAACTAAACCCCGCCATCTAATAAAATGTGACCAATCTAACCAAACAAACGGACAGTGCAATAACACATGATCATCATATTCCACCTCAGTCCTGCATAAAACAGAAAGAACAATAGCATTATTATTGAGAACTCCAATCCTTTGAAGATAGCTGGATGATTTGATCCTCCTTCTCCATGCCAACCACCTAAAGAATTGAGCTTTGGGAGGGACAACATTTTTTCAAATAGAGGTAGTAATTCTACAAATAGGGCCCAAGAACAATTCAAACCACTGATAGGCTGAGGAGACAAAATCTATTTGAGCAACCAGTAGACCACCTTAAATTGTCAAAACTGTTGTCTCTAATAGCAGGTGCAGTAAGTAGAGCATCATTTAATCTCATTATTTCCTCCACCTCCCATTGAAACAGAGTTCTAAAATTTAAGGTCCAGCCCTCATGATCACCATTTCTGTTGTATAAAGAGTTTACTGTACCACACTTGGCTTTTACTTTTGATTACATCCTTTTAACTCCTAACCCTTAAAATCCACTCAACAGATTCTCTCCTTGCCATCATTAACTTTTGGTTACAACCACAATGCATGCTTATTTGCAAGTCATCCGTTTTATACACATGAATAATAACCTAAATAAGTTTCGCATTGTTGCAACCAAAAAAAAAAAAGAAAAAAGAAAAAGTGCAGAACATGGTTCTGCAGCAAATCTAATCACCTAACTAATATTCCAAGCAACCAAAAAGAGATGGTCCAAATCTAAGAATTTAATTAGAGGAAAAAAATGCAAATTAATATGAGCAATATTGAATTGAGGACCCGAAATTCCCTATTGATGGGTGATGCAAAAAAACTGTTGAAACTATATCCTATAAATAATGTTGGTTGAGTGAAACACATTTGTTCTATAATCAATGTTTTAAAAACCAGAATAGAGTTTAAAGCCTTTCAATAAGTGGAGATGGCAGTAGACTTGAAGAATTATTTACTTGTCAAAAAATACAAAATAAAGAACAGAGTGAAGTAAATTAGCATTTCCTTAAATTGATCTTGTGGCACCAACAGGGCTATGAACAGTGCACTAGATCAAGGTCATCATAATTTATCTTCAAATTATTTCTCATCCTTTTTGCTAATTATGTTTGTTAATAGGCATTTTGATATCAGCATGATGCCACAAGTCAACCCAGTTACTTGGGTGGTTGGACAGCTAAAGGGTTGGTAGACAGTTTGGGTTGAATGCATTGGCAAGTAAGCAACATTTTATTACACAGCAATAGCATTGACTTCAAGCAAATACAAACATAAATTATTGTAACCACATCATGTTTGCCTATACAAATGCTATTTGAACAATTTTGTAAAACAATTAAAACTCAAATGAGACATGACCAAATAA